TCTTTCTTTCTTTCTTTCTTTCTTTCTTTCTTCTTTCTTTCTTTCTCTTCCATCCTCTAGCTCTGCTTCTGGACATCATAATTGTAGCCGGGTTACAGAAAATGGCAAAGCGGAAAGGTCCTTATGATGTTAGCCCGGGCATTTTGGACTATCTGACGATGGATATCTACGCCTTCCCTGCTGGTCACGCCAGCCGAGCTGCTATGGTGTCCAAGTTCTTCCTCAACCACCTGGTTCTAGCAGTCCCCCTCCGCATTCTTCTTATCCTTTGGGCTTTCTTAGTGGGACTCTCCCGAATTATGGTGGGACGCCACCATGTCACCGACGTCCTATCCGGGTTTGTCTTTGGTTACATCCAGTTCCGATTGGTGGAGAGTCTCTGGATGTCCTCCAACACGTGCCAGATGTTGATTTCTATGTGGTGAAGAGGAGAGATGTCCTCATCAGCTTCCTTTCATTTTCTGTTTGAAGACCCGGACAAGGCAAGAGATATCTCCGAAAAGGAGATGTTTTACAAGAGAACCACGAAGTTTGTTCTTCTAGAAGTTCTTCAAACTTCTTCTTAGAAGTTTATTCTTCTAAGTGAGGGATCTGAACCTCATGAAGCTGAAGAGACCATCCCATCTCATGTAGTAACCTCATCTGGGAATCATTGAGATTGATTTTTGATTGATTGATTGATATGGGTTTTTTTTCTCCGTGATTCCAACCAGAAAGCAAATCCAAGGATCAAGGATAACATTGCTTTCTCTTGCTATCTGGCTGTTGAGACAATAGCTCTTGCTTTTTAATCTGGAGACAGTTGTAGAATTCAATGGCAGTTGAGAAATACAGGATGAGCTTCCTTGCTCAAGTTGAGGTGTCCCCCAGTTGTGTTGCGACTCTTGTTCTTGGACATCCCAGCTTCTCTGCCTTCTTTCCCAACCTTGGACACCACCATATGTATGAACATCAGTTTCCAGAATTCCCTAGTCAGAATGAGAGTATTATGGGAGAGAAATGGCATCTTCAACAAGGGTGGACTTCAGCACCCAGAGTTCCCCACCAGTGATCTGGTCAACACTGAGAATTCTGGGAGCTCAAGGCCCCCCCTTCCAGAAAGGTGGATCTCAGCTTCCGGGAGGCGAATTCTAGAAGTTGAAATTAATGCATTTGGACAATGTACCACGGGGGGAAACCTACACCATGCCTTATAAATTATTGATAATGACACAAGAGTGTTCTGTACCTCTTAGATATTTTCCCTTGTTTTATTGCCAATTTCTTAGTCAAGAAAAATTCAGGAACCGTGAAGAGAGCCCGGATAAGGTGGTAGACTAAGGTGGAAATCGTAATCCAGTTCAAAGCATCATTAGTTGTCAAGTTTACAAGTCAGTAGCCAAGCTCACACACAATGGACCCCCATCACAAGGTAAACCTTGATTTGCAAAATAAAGTGGCTGGATTCACCCATTGGGCAGAAGTCAAACCCACTTAATTTATGATTTACAGCAATGTTTCCCAATCTTGGGAATTTCAAGGTGAACGTCAACCCCTAGAATTCTCAACAATGGCAAGGCTGACTGTGGAACTCCGGGAGATAAAACTCATCTCCCTGGTTATTACCAAGGTTGAAGAACCTTGACTTAAGACAGAAGTCTGAGCTCAGGGTAAAAAGTTGATCTCCCATGTTGTGCTTAAATGTGGTTTGTTGCACCATTGGTTGGTAAGTCATAAACCAGAATAACAATGGTTGAAGTGGCACAATCAAAGGGGGTGAAATTGTCAACTCGATTTTACTACCAAGGGATGAGTCAAATGAATAAGCTGTGGTTTATGTGGTAATATTGGTTGAAGGAGACTTGACGTAAAATTCATTTAAGCAAATGAATGTTTTTCTATCGTTCACGTAGGGGAAAATTTCTGCAAAGAAGGCTTCTCTGACTTGCTTATTCAAACCGTAGTTTAGTGCTATGGGGGTAGCCCACTACCCCACACCTCACAGAGAAAGTGTGAGGCTAAAATTGGGGTGAACAAAACAGTGACTTGACTTTTTAAGAGAGTCAAGTAGACCAATGAAAGGACAGCTTATAAGTAAATATGGCTCCACCCCCCATTACGTAGGATGAACTAGAAGAGGAGACATCATAGGGATCTTCTAATGATCTTTGGAGTTTTTAATCACTTAATGGGGCTGGAATTTAATTTGCAACAAAGAGTCTGACAAGTTTGGTCTTGTTTGTTCCTTCTGATATTCAGTCAAAAGAGCTTGGATGGGAGAACGATGGATGTTTTGAGGGTGACCGTATAGCAACTGATCTGACCCGGCAGGGCTTTTCACAAGATTGAAGCCTCATGGAGATGCAAAAAAAAAAAAAAAACCATCAGTGGGTCTACACTTTGCCTCCAAAAGGGAAGAATTTTGCTTCCATCTCCATAGCAACTGCTGCAGATGGAAGGATAACACTCTGTTATAATTCTTTTATCCTCAGAGCTGCTGAGTTTCAAAGATCCATCTAAGAGCATCTGAATTTTCTGTGGTCGCTGGGTTTGGGAGGGGGAAATATCCTTGGCAAATTGAATGAAGGTAATGTAATTAAATCTAATTGAATTGAATCCAGCCAATTAACTGGAGGCCCCTAAGCTCTCCACATTAATGTGAACTGGTTATACTGGTCTATGATCTTAATAAAGTTTTGAGTTGCGTTGACTTGAGTTTTGATTCGATTTCATTCGATTTGAATGTTAACTGCTGAGGTACACAATTTTTTTTTTTCAGATTTTCAAAAGTAGAAGTAAGGAGAAATAAAGAGAGACCCAGTGTAGAAGTAAGGAGAAAATGGTGAAAATGATTAATGGAGCAACTTGCCTCTTATAGTTGTGAGTGCTCCGTCATTGGAGGTTTTCAAGAAAAAAAAATTGGACAACTATTTGTTCAGATGGTATAAGGCCTCCTTAAGGTTGGACTAGAAGATCTCCAAAGTCCCTTCTAGACATAGTATGATTCCATGATTCCACAAACTCTAGATAATCACCATGCACCAAACACCTCTGTTTTCTTAATGTATTTATGGATGAAGGTCCACTTGGGTGTTGTTGGTTTTTTTTTTTGCAAACTTTTGAAGTCTTGCATGCTCAGCAAAACAAGGAGGAGGCCAAAGAACACAGTGGCTGGACACCATCAAAGCTGACACCAGCCAGGCCATAGAGCAACTTGAAGAAGAAGTGCCAGATCGAAAGATATGGAGAGACCCGGCCCCAGAATTGATAAGAGTTGGACACGACTGGATGGATAACATCATCATCATATTATCATCCTGGTCAGTGAAATATAACTCCCCCAAACTCTGGGGATTTTAGTCCTTTGGCATTTGGGAAGTTTTCCCACCTGTGACCTAAGCAAGAATTTAATCCCAGTTTTGGAAAACAAGGCAAGATCAACTCAATGTCCAAGGAAGTAGCACCTTGGACAGCGGCTGACCAGTTCCAGCTGGGAATCCAGACTACAGATTCAATGTTGCTTCTGCAACAGGCTTCCGGCTGAATCCAAAATCTAATAGACGCTGTTCTTTACTTCTTACTAATGCATTCTCATTTAATGAGCTTTTGGATGGTTGGGTTTTAATACTTTAATTAGCACTTCATGCTTTTACTTCCTATCCAGCCATTAGCCCGGATAGGCAGCACACCGCTGAGTTGAAAAGCGACTATGACAACATCCCCTGCATAATTTGATTTAAAAGAACCAACATCCCATTAAAAGACTCCGTGTACATTTTCTTGATCTTTCTTTCAAAGGAACCCCGGTAAGAAAATTCAGGCAGCAGAGAAGCGATTTCAATGCTTTGAAAAAAAAGAAAAAGAAAAGAAAATGTGTTGGATGCCTTTTAACTTTAGCTGTTTGGGCTCCGAAGGAATCGTGAAACTGCCTTGGCAAAGCTCAGGCGGGCTATTATTCATCTCTAAGGTGCAGATTTGTTGAGTGCAGCACCACACCAAATAATTTGACAAGACTTTTGGAGGTCACCAAAACGGGAGAAAGAAAGACCATTCAAAGGGGACAATGGCAGTGAAAAAAGTGACTTATGACCAGTTTTCACACTTGTAGCATCCCCTTGGTCACCTGATCAAAATCCAGACACTTGCCAACTCTAATAATAATAATAATAATAATAATAATAATAATAATAATAATACTTTATTGGTGGTCACAGACCAAAACACAAGTACAACAAAAGAAGAACATGGGAAAATTAAGCATGAACAATTGGTCACCAAAAGCTTGATTAAGGGGAATTACAGCGTTCTCCTCTGATGGTTACAGCTCATGTGACTAACTGAACAACTGTAATGATTCACTTAACAACTGCAGCAAGAAAGGCCTTAACATGGGGGCAAAGCTCACTCAACAACTGCTTAGTCTGTGGTTCAGTTGCGATCGTAAGCCGAGGACTAATGTAAGGAGGACGGATAGGATCTGAGAAGCAGCAGAACTCAGGGTGCCAGCTCCTCTTGCAGGGCTCTCAGCCTCCTTGACCAGTGTCCTTTCGGCCAGCACAGATGCCAAGCTGGCTGGAAAAAAAAATGCGTTGGGTGAAGCGCTCTGAGATGGTCATTTTCTTCAGCTGCCAATTAAGCAGAAAGCGGTTGGCAAAAGGGTAGAAGTTTTCAGCCAGCTGAGCAAGGAAAATTCTCAGCCTGAATCAGCATAAAACTGGAATTTTTATTTTGGAAGCCTCTGAGAAGTTACAGTGACGGGAAGGAGCTCGCGAAGACACAAAGAGGAATGTGGTATAGACTCTGCTACTTGCTACTTCCAATGCTGTTATTTTTATTTATCTGTTTTGTTTTGTTATTCTGACCCAACCCTGAAGGAGGCATAGGGTCAGGTTGCATCAACAGAGGGATAATTTCAAGTTCAGGTGAAGCGATAGCACCAATTTATACAGCACTGGTGAGGCCACGCTTGGAATGGTGTGTCTAGTTCCAGTCTTCATAATGCAAAAAATATATAAATAAATTCTAATTTCTTAGAAAGTGTGCAGAGAAGAGCAATAAAAATGACAGAGGCTCCGGATGATGAATTGTTAAGGGAACAAGGTTTATCTGACAAAAAGAAGGATTAGGGGTGATATGACAGCCGTCTTCCAATATTTGAGGGGTCGACCCATTCCCCAAAGGCCCCAAAGTCAAGTCAAGAAGCAATGGGTGGATGGTTATCAAAGAGAGATCCAATCTAGAATTAAGGAGGAATTTCCTGATTGTGGGAACAATTCATCAGTGGAACAGCTGGACTCCAGAAGTGGTGACTGTTCCATCACTGGAGGTTTTGAAGAAGAAACTGGATAGCCATTTGTCTAGGATGGCATAAGGTGTCCTTCTGGAGCAGGACTAGAAGACCTCCAAGGTCCCTTCCAACTCTATCATCCTATGATTCTTTCCTATAAACTCTGCATCCTAAATCCAACTCTTGGACGATTATTTCCTTGGTCATTTGGCCTTAATATTTAAAGCTCGTCGGCTTTCCAAGGACTCCATCTTGTGGAGATAGCGGATTAGACTATTAGACTATGGACTATTTTTCTTCTGCTGCTTGGGAAGGACACAGCTTTAAATGAATATGCATATTGATTTAAATAGATGATGAAAATGTGATGTACACACACTTTAATATTATTTATGGATTGTTAAAATACGGACATATGTACTATTTATATATTTAAATCGCATATTGTTAGAGTGCATTACAGACTTAACATTTAACTGTGTATTGTTAAGGGATGTATTTTGTGCACACTAATTTAAATATTTTTGAAATTCTGTATTGATAAAGTATATAGCATACATGATTTAAATATTATTCAGATTGAATATTGTTAGGATATGTGATATACACACTATTTAAATATGACTCAAATGCCATATTTCTTAAAGTATTTATTGTTTATCAAAATTATATAGCTGCCCATTTCACAAAGCAAGATCCTGTGGGCAGCGTTACAACGAATATTATTTGTACACACACACACAGCAAATAAAAAGCGCACATTTTTAAAAATTGTTTTCTGGCGCGCATCTCCCCTTGTTCTCTCTTCTACGTGTTCGCACAAAATATTAGGTATTATTTGTTCTCCTGAGTTTGATGGGTTGCCTGGGAGATATATAGATCTCTGGAGAATATGACATTCATAGTAACGGGCTGGGAGATGATGTGTAGCATAAACCAATTCCAAGCATCAAAGATGAAGGATCTGGGCTCTCTGTAGATCGCTGTTTGTGATCTATCAAAAGCGAGAGATTCTTACATTATGGAATATGTGTAACTGTAGAAAAGAAAATCCAGGATGGGATGAATCATAGTTTGTTGGCTAAAGCCCAGTTTGAATGCAGAAAGCCGGAGTCATTTGCCTTCCCTCCCTTCGACATCAAGCAATTCTGTAATCAAACATTCATTTTGCCCATTCTAGTCAGTTCCATTACGGCTGGTCAATTTCATAATCTCAGTTTCAGGAGAGGAATTCTCTCCTTCTTTTTAAGGATCTTTATTTTCCCTTCTTCTTCTTCTTTTTCCTTTCCTTTCTTTCCTTTCTCCTTTTCTCCTTTTCCTTCCTCCCTTTCATTATTTCCTTCATTCTCCCTTCCTTCCCTTCTTTCCTTTCTCATTTTCCTTCCCTCTTTTTTTCTTGGTCTTCCTTCTTTCCTTCCTTCCTTTTCCCTTCTTCACCTACCTTCGTTCTTTCCTTCCTTCCTTCCTTTCTCACTATCCTTCCCTCCCTTTCCCATTTTTTCTTTTCTTTTCCTTTCTTTCTTTCCCTCCCTTCTAATTTTTCCTTTTCTTTCTTTCTTTCCTTCTTTATTTTTCTCCCACATTCCCCCCTCCTTTCCTCGCTTCCTTCTTTTTCCTTTCCTTACTTCTCTTTCTTACTTTTTCCTCCCTCCTTTCCCCTTCTTTTTCCCTTCCTTCTTTCTCATTTTCATCTCTTTTCCCCCCCCTTTCCTTCCTTCCTTCCTTCCCGTTTCCGGACTTTCCTTCCTCCCTTCTCTTCTTCTCCTTCCTCCTCTCCCTCCCTCCTTTTCTCCCTTCTCTTCCCCCTTCCCCTCTTCCTTCCCTCCTTGCTCTCCCCGGCGGGCCCTGCAGGCGCCGCTGTCCCCTTCCGCCAACCCGTCCGCGGCGGGCTGAGCAGCTCACTCCAGCCCGGGGACTGGTAGGCCTTGCTGAGGAGGCGGAGGCGGAGGAGGCGGAGGAAGGGAGGCGGCGGCGAGCGGCGAGAGGCGGAGGGCCAGTCGAGGAGACGCCGAGAGGCAGCAGCAGGAGAAGCCGCGCCATCCGCCGCCATCCGCCGCCCCCAGGCGCCCCGCCCGCCCGACCCCCGGCTCCCCAGGCGCACCGGGCTCCCCGCAAGCACCACAGGTGGGCATCGGGGGGCGGCCGCGGCGCTGGCGGGCGGGGGGGAGGCTCCGCCGGGGGACGGAGAGGCAGGCAGGCGGCCGGCCGTAAGATGGAGACGCAGCAGGCCCGGCCTGGCTCCCTCCCGGCGCAGTGCAAAGCCGAGCATCCTCTCCTCTGTTTTTGTCCCCCCCCGCCCCGAACCCCATTGCAAAAGAAATTTTGGGGTGCTCTGCAAAAGAGGAGGGGGGTGCATTTCAGAGAGGGGGGGGCTTAGCTTTTTTTTTTTTTTTGCAACGGGTGCAAGGACGTTGCATGGGAGGGGGCGCTCCCCCTTTCTCCCTCCCCTTTTTCCAACTCTTATTTTGAGTGCTTATTATGATGATGATGATGGATTTATTTTGCAAAAGACCCTTCCTCTTTAAATCTGGGGAGGGGGGGCTTTGGAGGTCGTCCTGGACTGGCAAGGCCTGTCCGACCCCAGACCACTCCCTCTTATTTATTTATTTGTATTGTGTATTTATTGAAACCATGGCTAGAGCCGCCCCTCTTGCAGAACAACTCCGAACCCGAAAACAAAAACAGGTTTAATCCTGGCTTAATGGCTTCTTATTTCTCTCTCCTCCCCCTCCCCACTTCCCCCCCCCGCCTTTTTCTCCCCCTCCCCTTGTTTTCTTCCTGGATCTGAACCGAACTGGCCTCTTGAGCTTCCCCGGGGTGCCTCTGAGTGTGTGTGTGTGTGCGTGTGGTTGTGTTGCCGTTGCCATTTTGTGCTGCTGTTGCTTCCTCCAACCAGGGTTAGCTTTTCCATTGTTTTGGTTGCGGGTGTCTCGCCTAGCCAGCCAGGCCTGGGCGATGCTGACCCTTCCATCCCTCCCCACATCATCCATGCCCACCCAGGGCTGGGGGTTCCCGAAGGCTACCAAAACTAGCCCACTGGGCTACCAGGGTTGGACAATCAGGCAACGCAACCTGATTTTCCTGCTTTGCAATGTTGCCAAAAAAGCATCCTCAAAATCCGACAGGCATCTCTCTCTCTCTCTCTCTCTCTCTCTCTCTCTCCATTTTTCACTACGACACACCTGGCGTTTCTGAGCAAGCAATGGCTTCCATCTCCTTTTTTTTTTTTTTTTTTGATGCGCTAGAGGGAAAAAAAATGTTTTTTTTCCTCCCCCCAAAAGATGATGCTTATTATTTGGAGCCCTGCCAACATTTGCATTTTTTGGTGGGGTTTTAGATTGCATTCTTTTTTTTGTGGTGGGGGGGTGTTGATGATGGGAAAGGGGGCGGACATATGCCGCAAGTGTGTTGGTGTTGTGGGTGATAAACATGGAAGCATGTCTCGGTGGCGCACCTCTCTGGGATCCGGTTGGGTGGCTTTGTTTGTTGCCTGCTTTAAACACACACACACAAAAAGCACCTCCTTTTACCTGGGTTTTGGATGCTGTGGGGAGGGGGGGTCAGGAGATATACCCGGCCTTAGATCCTCTCCCCGCCCCCCCCCCTTTCCCCGCCTTCTACGGGGTTCTTGGATCTAGTACATTAAAAAACCAGGCCCAGCTTGACCCGCAGAGAGTTGTGTGGCAAATACAGACCCTTTTTTGTTGCTTTTGTTGTTGTTTATTTGACATCTCTCCTGAAAGAAGAAACACAAAACTTTAAGCATTGTAGCAACATAGATTTATGTTTATATTTGCTAAGTGAGGACTCTCCCCGGATTAATCTCCCTGTTGCAACTTGTTTGATTGTTTGTGGTTCCCCGAAGTTTACGTTTTTCATATTTGTAGCAATCTCTTCAGAGGCTAAAAAGTCTGGTGGGAGAACGTGTGGTGTGTGCATGCAGTTTTGCACCATGTTTTTAAATTGGCCTTTCTACAAAGTTTTTTTTTCCTCTGCCCTGCTGTTTATTTTTCTCCCAGCTTGCAGTTTTGTTTTGTTTTTAAGAAAATTGTGTTGTCTCCTGGTTTAAAAAAAAAAAAGTTTTAGCATGCAGTTTCTTATTCGGGTTGTTTTTTCGATTTTTTATTAGTTCCTATTTTGGTTTGGACACTGAGTTGACTCAGCTAAGTTTGATTTGGTATCTTGTGGATTAGTAAAAAATCAGGCTGTGCACCACTGTCTTTGTTTTCCCAGTTCTATAACTCCAAATTATATAAGCTACTTTTAAAAATGGGCCTCTGGATGCCCCACAAATGCATGATTTTTATGTGTGGATGAAAAAAAGCAGCAGATAAATAAAATACTGCTACCTCAAACCAAGCGGCTGGAATTTTGTCAAGTATTATTTCCCATGTAATGTAGATATATTTCTGGTAGGTTTGGCTGAATATCCACTTAAGTTTTTCTCTCTCATGACAAATATTAGAGGTTGTTGTGAGATTCCATGCTTTAAAAGCCAATGTTGACATGCTGGTCCATTACTGGGGGGGAAAAGGTAAATTAAAACTGTAATTAGATTTGCCCTAAAGAGTGCAATCTTTTGGCTTTTACAGAGCTCTTCATCTGAGGAGGATGAAGTAGAGGTGCTTACCATTTGTGGGATTTGTAGGATGGGATACCACCAGGAGAGCGCAGGTTGTAAAAGGGCAGTATTGAAATAGTTCATCAATCCACCTAGAAAAATGTCATTGGGAAAAAAAAATCTTCGCAGGGAATCCTGAGAAATTCTGGCTTTGTTTGTCAGAAGGTTGCAAAAGGGGAGACATTGCAACCGTCATAAAAGCGAATCAATTAATTGCCAAGCATATGAAGTTTGATCATGTGGCCACAGAGATGCCACAACGGTCATAAGTGTGAAAAACATATTGTTTGTTTGTAAGCGACATTGGTTTGGTTGTTGCAAAACATTTGTGTTTGGTTTTATCTAGGTACTGTTGTAAACAGTCATTAAACAAGTTGTTGTATGTCAAGGACTACCTATAAATGTGTGGTTTTTTTAAAAAAATTGAGGATCCTTCAAAAAGGCATTTTTCCTCTGCTCCATCATTCATTTTAAGCGAGTTTCGTCCCATGTTGCGACCGTTCTTGCCTCAGTTGTTCAGTGAATCACTGCAGTAGTTCACGTTAGTAGTTCACGGTCGTTAAGTGAATCAGATGTCTCCATTGGGTCAACCCTGAAGCTGACCTGACCAGATTGGAGCTTCAGGGTTGCCACACTGGAGTTGAGGGAAAGGGAGGGGGGCATTAGAGATAGAGGAGTTTGTGTAGTCAAAACAAAATACTTTCTCCTGAGAATCAAGGACATTCTCCCACCAGGACTGTGGAAGGAGGAGGAGTGAGGTCACCAGGCAGCATCTTGATTGGACCGTGTGACTTGATTATTTGGGGTTGTGGGGAAAAAGTTCTCTTTTAACTAGGTGAAAAACGCAGGAACCTTCGGAGTCGGGTTTTCACCAGATCTGTGCCAATATGATATTTCCAATAAAGTTTTTCTCTGAGGAGTCTACTTGCCTCGGAGTTTTGCCTGCTATGGATCTATTACTTGGTGACAAGTGGCCAAATTCTGACTAGGTACAGATACTGCAAAGGTCATAAGTGTGAAAACCGGTTGTAAGTCACTTTTTCCAGTGCTGTAGTAACTTCGAACTGAATGGCTGTAATGCAAGGACTGCCCATATCACACAACATGCTTTTTACTGGTTGTGTGTTTTTGTACTAGAGGCTAAACTTGATTAAGCCCCCCCCCCCCCCTTTTAGCAACAGAAATTTTGGGCTCTATTGTGATCGTAAATCAAGGGTTACCTGAATTTAATTTAGTTAGTATTTATTAAATTTATTTGCCACTCATCTCACAGCCAGTCGACTCTTGCAACATTAATATATTTACATATTGTGTCAAGGTAGATCTGTTTGGCTCTGTTTTTACTAGAAAAGTTACAAAAACAACAACCCCAAACCAGAATTAAGATGTTAAACTAACTCCTGTTCTGCAGATGACACTCTGATCTCAATACAAACAGTCAAGCCTGCTTTTGAACTTGAGTGAATCGAGAAAACCAGGATCGAGTCCGTTTTTCTCACCATACAATCTGGAAAATTTTTTAACCAAGCTGTAAATTTTGCAAAAAAAAAAAAATGGAATTAACACAACAGATTCTTATCGAATAGAAACAGAGCCGAAAGTGCATCCAAACAGATTCAGAGTGAAGCAAATTGGGCCTCACGTGAGCCCAACGGGATCATTTCAGGAAATGAAATTGATTAGCGAAAGATGCCCACCCTGGAAAGGGGGCCAGACTAGATGCTCTCTAGGGTCCTTTCCAAACCATCTGCTCCATCATTCTCTGAGACTTCAGGCAGGCAAATGAAAGTGCAAGATTAAAACCAACCTTGTACACATTTTCTGATGTTTCCATTGGCCTAAGAAATGGAAAATGGATTTGAGGGGTACTTTTTTTTATGTAGTTCTTGTTGTCTTTTCTTTTTCGCAACCAGGAAAATGACAGTTTGAATTATTTGTGATTTTACAATAGAGAAAAAGGATTTTATTTTATTTTTAAAAGCTCCAGCATGTCTGGGGGCAGTCTTGCTATTTATTTATTTTTTAATGGCCCATTTGGAAGTTTTCCTTAAATTATTCTAGTGGAGTTTGCTCTTTGAGACATAGTCAATATTGCAACATTGCACAGTGGACTTCATAATCCTTTTTTGAAGACCTCTAAGGTTCCTTCCAACTCTATTATTCTGTTCTGTTCTATTCTTTCTGTATTAATCTCCTTCCTACAGCTCAACTTTTTTGGGGTTAATTTCCTACCAAGCCAGGAAATCCGTTTGTCACGATGGTTTGTAATCTTTTGGTGACCAATTGGCAGGAAGGATAAATATGCAAAAGGAAGAAATTTCTCTTATGCCTGTAGCCATCCTTTCCATTTTAGGACCTTTAAGAAGGTTGACATTTAACCTGCAGGGCTATTTCCCTGTTTTTCAGCAGGGTTTTCCTTCAAATTTTACTTCCACGGTGTTCAGAATTTTAGCCCCACCAAAACTGTCCTTTTTTTTTTTTTTTAAAGAAGAAAGAAAAGAAAACATTTCCGCTTGGGGCGCAAAACATTTCCTGAATCAAATTGATGATTTTGCACGCCCAACGAGAATGCTTCTTTGGCTCTGGAAATAAATTGATTTGAAAAATTGCACACGGACCTATTAAAAAATGGACATTTTTTTTTTAAAAAAAGTTGTGGTGTTAGGGTTTGTTTTAAAGCACCCTGAGTGCACAGAGTGGGTATATATGATTATCTCCAGGTGATCAGACAGAAGAGCCGTCTATCCAGATTTTATGAACTGTTTTGGAGGTGGTAATGCTGCCATAGTTGAGATGGTGAAATTCCTTTTTAGAGACTGTTTGCCGAGATGAATGTTTGTTGTCTGTAAAATTATAAAAAACCTTCCTCCCTCCCTCCCTCCCTTTCATTCCGATCTCCTTCCTTCCATCCCCCCTTCCTTCCCTTATTTTCTTCCTTATTTCTTTCCTACCTTCCTTATTTCTTTCCTACTTTCCTGATTTCTTTCCTACTTTCCTGATTTCTTTCCTACTTTCCTTATTTCTTTCCTATCTTCCTTTCATCTTTATTTCTTTCCTTTCCTTATTTCTTTCCTTCCTTATTTCTTTCCTACCTTCCTTATTTCTTTCCTACCTTCCTTATTTCTTTCCTTCCTCCCTCTTATTCCAATCGCCCACCTTCCTTCCTTCCTTCCTTCCTTCCTTCCTTCCTTCCTTCCTTCCT